AATAGAAAACCATCAAAAAGTTTTTTTTTTCTTTTTCTAACATGCACAATTGAATTACAAAAACACCTGGCCAAACACCAATTTCGTTACTTTATGATAACTATGGTAATGATTATAATGTAACTTAGTGAGCTTCAAAAGTATTAACAGAAAATGAACACATAATCCTAGGTACAATGTAAGTTAGTATTTTTTTATCCACCTCTTTCACCGAAACGGGGAATATTAAATTGGGTTTGTCCGTCTGTCTGTCTGTCTGTCACGCTTCGTTTCCGTGCAATAACTACAACAAATGTTAACCGATTTTCTTTAAACTTAATCACAGGGTTAAATGCCATGAGGGCTTGCCCAAGTACGATGCCCACTTTCAGAGGACCTCATTTGGCGGAGTAATGGCCCCTTGAAAAACAAAAAAACTCATTATCTGCTGTGCTTCGTTTCCGTGCAATAACTCCAACAAATGTTAACCGATTTTCTTCAAACTTTGTCACATGGTTAAATACCTTAAGGGCTCGGCTAAGTTCGATGACCACCTTATTTTGCGGAGTTATGGCCCCTCAAATAACGAAACAAGTCATTAGCTGCCGTTTCTACATGCTCAATAAAAAGTCTAACTTCTGTATAAGGCCGTTTTTTCTTCGAGTTTTAAGCTATATGTTATGTCTCAACAGCACGATACTCACATGTTTAATTCTGTCCTCAATAATGTTTCCATACAAAACATCCTGCTAGCGGGGGATATAAATTCCACGAATTTGCTTATTTTTACCATACTTATACCACACATACGATAATTACGTCACAGAGTTTCATTCGTTTAAAATATATTTTGGCCGGGATGGGGACACCATATCTTGCACTGAACACCTGTCAACAGAAATATAAATATCATGGTTGTTTTTCGGTAGAGTTGACAATTTGTCATCAAATTAGTGATATCAAGGTTTGATTCACTCAATAAATATTTTTCCCTCTGACCACGCCCTCTAAAAAGTTCATCCACATAAACCTAAAACTCACTTGTCCAAACTATGATTTCCGAAGGACACACCAAAACCAAACCACATGACTGTATAATATTGAGAAGTAATGGATTTATTTGGAAGTAATTTTTAAGCTCACATACAAACCTTTCCTAGTCGCAGAAATTGAGGAAACATTGATATCAGAATATAAAGGAACATGTTACGATTGATACTTTGTATCGGAATAGGAATGTAAAATGATAGGATTTGTTGTAAGCAGTTCTTATGAATATGTGGGTGGGAGTTGTCTCCCATTACTTAATAATACACCAATATAAGTGGAGGTGAACACTTATATACACATAACGTTAACCTCTAACATACAAATAACTCTGACGAACTGATATTCATATATCTCTGAAACACTGGTATACCCATAACTCCGAACCACTGATATACACATAACTCTGAACCACTGATATACACATACCTCTGATCCACTGATATACACATAACTCTGAACAACTGGTATACACATAACTCTGAACCACTGATATACACATAACTCTGAACAACTGGTATACACATAACTCTGAACCACTGGAATACACATAACTCTGAACCACTGTTATACACTTAACTCTGAACCACTGGTATACACATAACTCTGAACCACTGATATCCACATAACTCTGAACAACTGGTATAGACATAACTCTGAACCACTGGAATACACATAACTCTGAACCACTGTTATACACTTAACTCTGAACCACTGGTATACACATAACTCTGAACCACAGATATACACATAACTCTGAACCACTGGCATACACATAACTCTGAACCACTGGTATACACATAACTCTGAACCACAGATATACACATAACTCTGAACCACTGGTATACACATAACTCTGAACCACTGATATACACATAACTCTGAACCACTGATATACACATAACTCTGAACCACTGATATACACATAACTCTGAACCACTGATATACACATAACTCTGAACCACTGATATACACATAACTCTGAACCACTGATATACACATAACTCTGAACCACTGATATACACATAACTCTGAACCACTGATATACACATAACTCTGAACCACTGATATACACATAACTCTGAACCACTGATATACACATAACTCTGAACCACTGATATACACATAACTCTGAACCACTGATATACACATAACTCTGAACCACTGATATACACATAACTCTGAACCACTGATATACACATAACTCTGAACCACTGATATACACATAACTCTGAACCACTGATATACACATAACTCTGAACCACTGATATACACATAACTCTGAACCACTGGTATACACATAACTCTGAACCACTGATATACACATAACTCTGAACCACTGGTATACACATAACTCTGAACCACTTATATACAAGTAACTTTGAACCACTGGTATAAACCTAACTCTGAACCATCGGTATACACATAATTATGAACCACTGATATAAATATTACTCTGAACCACTGGTATACACATAACTCTGAACCACTGATATACAAGTAACTCTGAACCACTGGTATACACATAACTCTGAACCACTGGTATAAACGTAACTCTGAACCATCGGTATACACATAACTCTGAACCACTGATATACACATAACTCTGAACCACTGATATTTACATAACTCTGAACCACTGATATACACATAACTCTGAACCACTGGAATAAACGTAACTCTGCACCATCGGTATACACATACCTCTGAACCACTGATATTTACATAACTCTGAACCATAGGTAAACACATAACTCTGGACCATCGGTAAACACATAACTCTGAAACACTGGTATAAACGTAACTCTGAACAATCGGTATACACATACCTCTGAACCACTGATATATACATAACTCTGAACACTGATATACACATAACTCTGAACCACTGGTATACACATAACTCTGAACCACTGGTACATGTATACACATAACTCTGAACCATCGGTAAACACATAACTCTGAACCACTGGTATACACATAACTCTGAACCACTGATATACACATAACTCTGAGCCACAGATATACACATAACTCTGAACCCACTGGTATACACATAACTCTGAACCACTGATATACACATAACTCTGAACCACTGGTATACACATAACTCTGAACCATCGGTATACACATAACTCTGAACCATCGGTATACACATAACTCTGAACCACTGGTATGCACATACCATTGGATTTTGATATATATATATTTAACTGTAAACCTGTAATGTAAATGAACATATTACTCGAAACCACTGATAGACAAACAAAATTCTGAACCTCTGATATCCAAACATAACTCTTAGCCTCTGATAGACAAACATAACTGTAAACCACTGATAGACAAACATAACTCTAAACCTCTGGGAGACATTAATTACTCTGAACCTCTGGTAGACATACATAAATCTGAGCCTCTAATAGACAAGCATAACTCTGAACATCTGATAGACATCCATAACTCTGCACATCTGATGAACAAACAAAACTCTGAACCTCTGGTATACATATATAGCTCTGAACCTCTGATAGACATACACAATGTACTTACCTCTGAACTGCTGATAGACATACTTATCTATGAACCTCTTATATACACGAAACTCGGAACCTCTTATATACACGAAACTTTGAACCTTTTATATTCCCGAAACTCTGAATCTCTAACATACACGAAACTCTGACCCTCTTATATACACGAAACCCTGAACCTGTTACAAATGTATAAAAACGAAACTCTGAATCTCTTATTTACACGAAACTCTGAACCTTTTATATACACGAAACTCTGAAGCTCTTACATGTATATACACGAAACTCTGAACCTCTTATATACACGAAACTCTGAACCTCTAGCATACACGAAACTCTGAACCTGTTATATAAACGAAACTCTGACCCTCTTATATACACGAAACCCTGAACCTGTTATATAAACGAAACTCTGAATATCTTATTTACGCGAAACTCTGAACCTTTTATATGCACGATACTCTGAACCCCTTACATGTATATACACGAAACTCTGAACATCTTATATACACGAAACTCTAAACCTCTTATATACACGAAACTCTGAACCTCTTACATACACGAAACTCTGAACCTCTTACATACACGAAACTCTGAACATCTTATATACACGAAACTCTGAACCTCTTATATACACGAAACCCTGAAGCTCTTACATACTCGAAACTCTGAACCTCTTATATATACAAGACTCCGAACCTGTTATCTAAACGAAACTCTGAACCTCTAATTTACACGAAACTCTTGAGTAGGTTGTACGGGGCATGACTAGTCAGCTTACCGTACTGTCTAAATAATATTACAACTGTTAAACAAGGGACTGTTAATCACAGAAAACAATAAAGTGCATTTATACAAAAAAATACTTTTTTCTTTATATTACATTTTAAAGATTTTTTGATTTTTTTTGACTTATGAGAACGTAACGTAAATTAAGCACATGTCTCTTCGTAACTAAAGAAGACGACTGGATTCTGTTTTCCGTTTAAATACCGGTAACACAATAATCACCCATAATTATATTGCTAATAACAACCTTCTACCCAACGAGGTGTAAAGAGTCTTAAAAACCCATTTGTCAACGGTGCAAAGCAACTTTGATGTGTTCTTTTTGACAGTAGAAACCCGATTCGGGTTTTACTTTCATAGGCCAATTTTCCTTTCTCATATAATTTGCAAATAAGTATTCATTCTGAAAATAATTATACAAAAACCCCGAACCATGGCAGTTCATTTTCATACCATTGCGTGTGTGTAACAGCATGAACATAAAGTAAGTTAACAAACACCATTGAATTCCAAAGAGTAGTCCAGAGTTCTGTATCATGTCTGTGCTATTTCAATATGCATTCTTAAATAAAAATCTCGCTATATATCCTTCATGTACATAAGAACGTGGATTACTGTTTCGGATTTACAATATGTGAGGAACATTAAAGGCGAGTTCGTAACGGACACAAGTTGGTGTGTGTTATAAGCCAAGTAATGTTTACATTTCTCCCTGTGAACGTTGCATTCAATTGTCTCGTCGTTTTATGTGTTGGAGTAATGATGTGTTATCGTGATGTATTATCTCTGATCAAAAACGGCTCTCCACTGACAGTGTACGTACTAGTATAGCCGATCTTTGACGTGTATAATGACTGGTTCTTTGTTGACTCGCATTAATGCAGATATACGAAAAAGATTGAGCAAGTACAAATTGTGAAAACGGATTTATTTTACACGTTGGTTCTGACTTGAGAATACTTCTTTAGGAACTTTGCAAAGCCTTGTGGATATGTATAGTGTATAATGGCTCTCACATTCATTCTTGACCACAAAACATCAATCTTAGACTGAATATCCCTCGTCTGGCTGCATTGTTTATCAACAAAACCCGATTTTATGTAAGGTAAGCCATATCTATGTATTTACCTACTGTAGTGGCCTTCAGTTCTATGTCGAATTTATTATTTTGCATATCATATTTATGTTATAGATAGGTTTGTAGCTCTATGTTTTGTGTAGTCACTTAATGCTTTGATGTGTTCAGATGTTATCACTTTCTTTGACTATACAGTGAAGTGTAAACATGGAAGCACCAGGGCGAATGTTTAAGTATGTAGTTTATATTTAAACGTTCTGATACTTTTGATAAGTTCAGGCACAATTGTATAGAACATTACATTTTGACATCACTACGCAAATTAAGAGTATTAGTTTTATTTCGGGCTGTTTTATTGATGAGTCAAATGTATATAATACTATAGACAGATTACTACAACTCTTGTCGGCAAATATTTGTCGTCCTTGTACAAAAATGTATGAATATTTAACGGCTTTAGATGTACGTTATAGGAACAATACGATCAGTTGTATCCTAATTATTTTGTTTGTGACCTTACGTTTAAAAGCCCACCATTTTCCTTTTTGGTATATTAATTTGACCGAGAGGACAATGGGACCTACACAAATGTACAATTTCATAAAATGTTGTCCAAAACTCAAGCTGTGCATAGTTAAATAATATAATTATAAAGATAGAAATGTGTGAAAGCGACAATGACTGGGTCCTTTTCATTTAAAAAATGTTAATAAACTGTTCTGATGTCAATAGTTTCTCTGATACGATGATGTTCGTCAAAGGAAACTCGCTGGTCTAAATGTCCAATAACTACACGAACCATCATCTTTATGTTTATTATTGTAAAGTTTGAAAATAATTCTCACAAACCTCTTTCATACGCGTGAAGATATCCTTTCATTTACAGTTTTTAATGACATTATTTTGTAAATGTACGTATTACTGCTGTATTAGAATGAAGCTTACATACAGTTAATGGATTCAGTATAGGACTTATACTGCCGACACGTGGTTTAGGTGATATTAGGTCTATGCCATAGCGAGTGCTATTCGCGACGTCAAATTAACGTGTGTAGCATTCTGACATACCTTCAGGTATTATTATTATGTGTTTAATGTCCGTAAAATGTGCAAGATTCTCTCAAAATTAAAATTGGTTGGAGGACAACCCGATATCGTGCATAAATTTATGACGTCACGTCAACATAGCATCGGATGTCAAAATATTTAGAAATCGTTCTTATTTCAATTCATTGATTTGATTCAGATAAAAAATACTAGTTTAATCCAAAACGAGATGCGGTCGATCTATGTATAACACTTTACAATGTTCAGCATAATATTGGCTAAAATGAATGCATTGTATGTAATAAATACAAATATATAAGAGAGTGTATTTGAGCGGCATTTGGAGATATAACACTAAAAAGTAAAAGCTTATAGCGACAGAAAATAAACATGTCCTGAATTATATTTTGTTTTAGCGGTGTGACGTCATAAAAAATCGCCATGACCCAACGTCATTCGTGTTGCGCAAGAGTCGCCCTTGGTTTCGTGGTGGTCGTTGTTCTACTCCAGTGCATCGCTGTTGTCACGCCGTTCTGGGTTTATGTGTTTGAAGGGTCCTATCAGGGCTACTTTGGACTGTGGCAGACATGTTATGAGGGTTCAACAGATGATCAATATATCTGCATGGATGTCTTCAAGGACAGCCGATATAACGCTAGTAAGTTGAGGGACGATCTAAAGAAATATATGCTAATACAAAAAATAAACGCGTATTACTATTTACGGAATTTAATATAAGAAAGAAACACTTGCATTTTTTCATGATGTAACAGGTGAAAATATGGAAGTATGTTTATAATTGGTAGAATACAGATCTTCTTCACGAGTACAACATATCAGTATACAATACCATGCCAGTGAAATGTTTATGGTATTCAACAGGAACGCATTACCACATTTCTCTACAACGATGAAAATGTTACTGTATCAAACTAATGGGGAATATGATAGCGGAAAGGTTGGCGCAATGTTTAACTGACGTCACGCTTGAAAACATTTTGGCTGCGGAACAAAATTCTACTTTTTTCATTTTAATTGGTAAGATTTGCTTTCATACATGTAGATTGTAGCAGCTGTTTTTGAAAGATTTGGTGCCTTAGTCTGTGTAGCCTAGATGTTTGAATGGGATGACTAATAAGTGTCCTTCTGATTGGTAAATTCCAAATGTCCTATTATCTTGTAAAAATTCGATGTCTCACCAAATTAAATTTCAATAAAATGAATAACATATGCGATGAATTGCACTGTAATAGTTCCAATTTATTCATTAACAGTGTGGTTCTACCTGGTACAGGCTTTTACCTCTTCTGGTTTAGTTGCGGCACTAGTAACAATGGCGGTAACTATTAACCAACACTGTGGCAATCGGATCGACGCATGCGTGACTGGCCTTCTCTCAGTAATGAGTTACATCACATGTAAGTGATATATTAAAGTCATTATCGACCACATTTTCAGCATGAACTGATAATACTTAATTTGAAAGCAATCAATTTAACTATGTGATATAATGCATCGTGTTCCCACATTCTTCATTTTCTAAATTGTGTGATAGGTAACGTCGGGTGGTCAGGTGGCGCAGTGGATAGTGCACTTGCATTTCACACAGGCCCGGCCACGTGGGGTTTATCAGCCATTAAGACCCCTCCCGCGCAAACACCCGGTCAAACAAGCGTGATTAACGTGATTAATATAAGTTGAAATAGCTTGTTTCATTATTGTTTTAAAATAAGTAAAGTTTATATATACCGTCAAATGAACAAATGGATTATAGTTGTTCATTCAGACTACGGTCTGCATGGCTTTTAAGACTTAAGTTGCAAATTGTAGAGGTTCGATAAATCGTTGATAAAATATATTTTCCAGGCGCCATTGTGATAACAAGTCTCGTCTTCTTCATCCGAAACGTGAATGGAATCGGTACGATTTCCGGTCTGACAATGAACTACGTGCCGTACATGTCCGCTTCCGTGTATGCTTCAGGTGGAGCCGTGATATTTAGCATGCTAGCAGGGTCCGTATTCGTCATTGTCGCCTACAGTGCCAACAAAGGCACGGAATTCGAAGAACCGGAGGACGGGATAAGTACAAGAGAAGGACGGGCGGATGTCAAATAGGCGGTTCAGGTCTAATAAAATAATTGACAACAAATACTATTTTTAAGATGTGAAAAAAAACCTACAAGAAGTTAGTCAAAGACAATTGGGTTATATTTGCACAGAAATATGTACAGGCGAGTGTGTTATGGAGATGTCATGTCACATATAGGATACATACCTGTACTTCAGAACAACGAAGATAAGGGAGGTGTCTTTCGCAGAATTAATGTAACCAGAGATGGTGATTTCTTTATTTCTCTGACAGAAAATAAATATATTGAATTGGAGTTATATTACCGAACAGCACAGCTATCTATCAGCATGTGTTTCTAGTAAAAAATACATTGAACTGTGTAGATGGTTATATGTCTTGTGATAAATTACATTGAACTGTGTATATTGTCATATGTCTTGTGATAATTTACATTGAACTGTGTAGATTGTTTTATGTCTTGTGATAATTTACATTGAACTGTGTATATTGTAATATGTCTTGTGACAATTTACATTGAACTGTGTAAACGGTGATATGTCTTGTGACAATTTATATTGAACTATGTAAACGGTGATTTGTCTTGTGACAATTTATATTGAACTATGTAGACGGTTATATGTCTTGTGACAATTTATATTGATCTATGTAGACGGTTATATGTCTTGTGACAATTTACATTGAACTATGTAGACGGTGATATGTCTTGTGACAATTTATATTGAACTATGTAGACGGTTATATGTCTTGTGACTATTTACATTGAACTATGTAGACGGTTATATGTCTTGTGACCATTTATATTGAACTATGTAGACGGTTATATGTCTTGTGACAATTTATATTGAACTATGTAGACGGTTATATGTCTTGTGACAATTCATATTGAACTATGTAGACGGTTATATGTCTTGTGAGAAACAATTTATATTGAACTATGTAGACGGTTATATGTCTTTTGACAATTTACATTGAACTATGTAGACGGTTATATGTCTTGTGACAATTTACATTGAACTGTATAGATTGTTTTGTGTCTTGCGATAATCTACATTGAACTGTGTAGATGCCTGATATGACCAGAAAGAGTTTACTGTAAACAGTACGGATTGCTATTTCAATGAGAGACCAGGAAGAATTTACACAAAATAAATTTCAAGGAAAGAAAATAAATTTGAAAAGTAAAAGCTTTATATAGACCATTTCGAAAGGCTTTACAGTGATAAGTGTCGACTCCCCTTTCTCAATTAGAGTCTGCTAAAGTAAGAATTCATATTGAACAATATATTGATATGTTTTCAAGATGAACGTCCAGGGTTAAGAATTAACATGTGTATTAATAAATCATTCCGTTATCAGCTTCATTTACACATTTCACGGCGTGGAAACTACGTCACACACGTAACTAAGATGGCACAAACATGGCGGCTGCGCATGCTGCAGCAAGCGCTTCGAGGTAAATTTTTCACGTTTTATAAATGATTGGTCGGATATACCAAACATTCCGCAACTGAAAACATATGATAACGGCAGTTTATTAGGCATGTTTGTGTCATCTTAGTTACGTTAGTAACGTAGTTTCCCCGCCGTGTTAAATACTTTTTTAAACTAAATTATCACCAATATCGAAAAGTTGAAAATCAGTCCAAACTTCATGAAATATCATGCTTGATATGGTACTAACGATAACATTGCAGTAGGTATTGACTGAGTGTGTGGTACTGGTATAACGAAAAGTAGGCTTACAATCAAATGTTCGCCTCTTGATATGTTAGACTAATTACCTTGTTGTTTTCCACCGTTAATTGTTTACACACCTTTGTAAAGCTGTCAATCAGTACTGTAATAGGTACTGTACTAGTAAATGTGCTTTTAAAAATATGAACATATAAGATGTAGTTCAACAATAGAATTCCTTTGTAAATTGTCACAATACGGCATCAAATAAATTAGATTCAGCTCATTCGTTACATGTTTCTAAGTGATATATTGGATTTATCAACTTTATAAAACTGATATATTTAATACTGTGATACATAAAATGTGACATTTAGTCACAGTGTCAAGATTGAACTTTTGACGTTAATCGATTCAAACAGTTCTATTTATCCAATGTAAGTTGATACATTTTCGACCAACTAAAAAACCTAATAACACCAGGGAAAATTCGAAATTTAATTCAGTCATCCAAATTGGACTCGTTAAGAAGGCCGATTGATACATATCTATTGTACTATCTCAAAATATTGTCTTATTTCTCATTTTCCCGGTTGTAGTAATTTACATGGAACTATATGATACACTTGTATACTTGCTATATGTATCACAGATTTTGCTGTCACGATTGTAGAATCAATGATCATAGAAATACAATGTACATTGTAGTACGATTTGCAGAGTTGTCTCCCTTTAAACATGTACCTATCAATCGCGTTTCAGATTTGGCCACGATGTTTTTTTAAAGGAAAATGCTATCTGTTAAGGGAGAGAGATATATAACTTTATAAGTTTAACTTAATCACGAATTGATAGCACTGGTTAAAGACAACGGGCTCGTACACCACTATACGTGTATAGCATGGATTTTCCCGTGGTACAGTTGATACCTGGGTATACATTGCGCACTGGAACTTTTTATCGCACACATAACGCCGCGAAACAAAGTACGTGTATTAATACTTTTTTTTTTTTTTTTTTTTT